TCCTCTCAGGATTTTGGGCACACACACACGCTCGGCATGAGTTTTAAGCTGCTGGGTCTGGGACTCGAACCACAGTTGACTACATGGGAGTCCAGCAACATAACTCTTACACTATCTGCTGGTCCTGGGAAGACTCATTTTATATACTGTAATGATATACAGTGGTTGATTATAAAATAAACATAATAATAATAAAATTTTTAAAGCTAAAAAAATAAAATTTGATTGTGAAATTAATAAGAGCAAACTTAATACCTTTATGGTGTCAAAAGTTGGGGCCTCTGGGAGTAAGTAAGTGCTTAGGGTGGGGCCTCTATGACTGAATCCTGGTGGGGTTATAAGGAGAGGGAAATGAGACTAAAACAGGGACTCAAGGGCAAGCGCTCTGCTCTCACCCTCGTGATATGATCAGGACTCTGTGAGATGCACCTCCTGTCAGATGTGGCCTCTGGCCCTTGGACCTCCAAACTGTGAACTGAACTGAATAAATCTAGTTTTTTTAAAGAGAAATTTTTGCTATAGGGCACGTGCACTCCCTGGACAGACAGAAAGACACAGAGAGACAGAGAGCAAGAAATCACCCTCAAGGGGGGATGGCCATGCCACAATCCCTTCTCCTCCATTCTTCTTTCAGGATATTAGGCACACATGCACACGTGCTGGGCGTAGGTTTAAGTCGCTGGGTCCGGGACTCCAAACTCAGTTGACTACATGGAAGTCCAGCAACATAACCATTACACCATCTGCTGGTCCCTAAAACTCTATTTTTATAAATCACCCAGTCTTGGGTATTTTGTTAGCAACACAATAGTGGACAAAGACAAGGTCTTCTGAGAGACCTGCACAAGGGAGGGTCCTGGAGCTTACACTTCACTCGCTTCCCAGTAACTCGGCCTCTGTCTGGTCAAACGGAGCAGGCTGCAGTTCCCTAGAACATACCAGAATCTTCCACAATGCTTTCCCTTTGTACAAGCAATTACTTTGGCCTGGGTTGCCCTTCTTTCCCTTCCCTTGGCTGTCTGGCAAAATAGTTTACGTTGGGTCAGCAGGCTGGCATGGTGGTTAAGGTGTCCGGGTCCCACATGGCCAACTGCACAGTTTGAGTCCCAGACCTGGGAGCTGGAAAAATATGCTGGGCATATATGTGTGTATGTGCCCCAAATCCCGAGAGATGTGGTGTGGCCATCCACCCAAGGGATGCTTTTCTAACTTGCCTTCTCTCTCTCTCTGTCTGTCTCTCTCTGGTGAGCACACACGCCCTGTAGCAAATTAAAAAATAATAATAATAAGGAAAAAACCAGTTCATCCTTCAAGCGTCAGCTCAGGAGGCGTGCCCTCTGCAAAAGCTTCCTTGACCTCCCACATGGAACTGACTGCTCTTACCTCTGCGTGCTCATTTATAGCTTGTCCTTTACCTCGCTGTACCCTGTCCTTTACAGAACACGTCACAACACACTCCGTGGAAATGATTTGCTTAAAACCAGTCTTGCCTGTGAGTGCCTCAAGGGCAGAGATCAGGTCGTTCCTTTTCATACTGTCAGAGCACAGCTGGATGGAACTGAGACCCCACTACGTATATTGGAAGACACCCTTCCCAGTGGAATAACTACTATAGACAGGGACCCTGGGCAGAAATGGGGCTTGTGAGGTGTCAGCTGCCCGCCCATGCCATTCTGGGAGCACAGGCTAGACTCTGACATCTGTGCTCTCCCCAAGACCCCCATGGTGAGCGCCTCCTGTAGCCCTCCACCAACCTCTACACCCCACTTCCTTACCTGTCCTCTTTGTTGATCTGGTCCCCAAAGCCCACTGTGCTAACAATCGTGAGCTTTAGCCCCACGTTGCTCTCCTGGAGGTCATAGGTATTGGACCGGAGCTGAACACCCGGCTGTGTGTGGGTGGCTGGCTCTCCCTCGAACTTGGTGTTGAACAGGGTGTCCATGAGAGTGGACTTGCCCAAACCTGTCTCTCCTGGAAAGCAAAAGGGTAAATTATGGTCAGTTCACACAGGGAGTATGCAGCCATTACACATCATGTTTCAGGGGTACATTTCTTTCTTTATTTTAATGACCAGAAGGCATGTGTACTCACCAGAGAAGGAGAAAGAGAGACAGAGAGAGATGGAGAGGGAGAAAGCAGACCCCAAGGCAGTGTGGTCATGATACAATCCCTGCTCCATTTCTCCATCCTGTTAGGATTTGGGGCATGCATGCACATGAGCCAAGTTTGTTTATGAAGTCATCAGGAACCGGGATTCAAACCGTGGTCGGCTCCTTTAAATACTAGGCCATGGGGCCAGCCCCAGATGTACATTTATTGACATGGGAAAATGGACATGATAAAACCCTAACTGAAAAGCATATAGAGTTCTACAGCCTATATGATCTCAGTGAAATATCTATAGTAGTCATCTCAGGGCAGAGGAACTGGAGTCATTCTTATGTTATTGTTCATTCTTGACTGTTTGAACATTTTTACTTGAGTATGCATCACTTTTATAGTGAGAAAAAGAAATTACGTTATAGTCAATGATGAACACATATAGTTATGCCTAGAAAAAGCCTGGAAGGAAATGGGGGAGGAGGTCTTTAAAAAGTTCATGGAGGGGGCCAGCAGGTGGCGTGGTGGTTAAAACACAATTCCTACATGGCTGACCACATTTTGAGTCCCAGACCTGGTGGCTTGAAAATCATGTCGGGAGCATGTGCGTGTGTGCCCTAAATCCCAGGAGAATGAAGAAAAAGAGGTTACAGTGTGGCCATCCCCAGGGGATGATTTCTCACTTTCCCTCTTGCTCTCTCTGGCAAGCGCAGCAGGTGGCGTGGTGGTTAAAACACAATTCCTACATGGCTGACCACATTTTGAGTCCCAGACCTGGTGGCTTGAAAATCATGTCGGGAGCATGTGCGTGTGTGCCCTAAATCCCAGGAGAATGAAGAAAAAGAGGTTACAGTGTGGCCATCCCCAGGGGATGATTTCTCACTTTCCCTCTTGCTCTCTCTGGCAAGCGCACACACCCATGGGAAAACTTAAAAAAAAAAAATGTTCATGAGAAATGCACACTATGTGGGACCAGCAGTTAGCGTAATGGCTATGTCGCTGGACTCCCACATAGTTGACCATGGTTCGCACCCCGGACCCGGTGGCTTAAAAAACTCACGCCGGGCGCGTGTGCGTGCGTGCCCAA